AAAAGTCTGGTCCTCCTTTGCTGTAATTTCCAGAAATTTCTGCCCCGCTGAAGTCAAATCCAGGGTTCTGATGGAGGTAAAAGAAAAGTTTAATTGATGCATTATTCATAATAAAAATATTTTAAAACCCCAAACTGTTTCTGTTAATACTCTGCTATTGTACCAAGGACACAATGATCAACTCGTCATGTTTGACATGGCACTGAAATTCTTGGAAAATGTATCAACAAATAAACCCTGAATTGCCACAGTTTGGCTGCATACTGCTGAAGCGACTTTGTGATGCTGTTCTCAATCTGACAAGCAGTTAGGTCTCCCAGTAAAGAAATATTAAGGGAAGTTTAAGAAAAAATTCTGACTTCTAGTGTCCCTTGAAATTACAATTTGAAAATAGAAGTACCTGTCATGCTGGATAACAAGTCTCATAAATACTGTGTTCCTTCTTGTGTGTAGTGTGCTGATTCAGCTGTCAAGTAATAAGTTGTAATCCTACAACTCTGCAGACACTCATAGAAATAGCTGTGTGCTAAAGGTGTACCAAAACAATTTGAACAATTTTAGCAAAAGGGCAAGGAAAACTTCTACATTATCCAATGCTATAGACCAACATATTCAAAACAGCTTAATGCTAGAAGTTGGTTGTAAACACGGCTATGTCATAATTCTATATAATAACAAATTGTGTGTAGCCTAGCTTAAGTGAAAAGTGGTCAGTATTGTGCAACAGCCCTAAAAAAGCAGCACCACCCCGTAACTCATCTTAACTTTTCATAAAACCTTCAGACTACAGACAGAATAACCTCTTGAAAGTACACTGAACAAGCCTCATGAGCATTCTCTATATGTTGAATTACAATACATGCTTCCACAGCACTGGACAACAAAACAATTTTGACCAGCTTTCATGGCCATGACCCTGATGGGCAAACGCAAAATATAAGGAGTAATTCTGGTCCTTTAACTTGCCTCTTTTTGGAATCGCTCCAGTGTAAGTTTCCTTTGCATCTGGTCCTGTACCCAAGGATCAGCAGCATATTCATTTTCTAACAGAGACGTCCAACAATTTCCAGCATCTCGATTTGTCTTCATTAGAACGATTTGTATCAGCTTCCTATCTTCTGTTGAACAAAAACACACATAAACCAACTATTAAGCTCAGCCTTACACACCAGGTTTTGTTGTTGTTTTGGTGAACTTACCATTAAAAAGTACAGGATTTTTTTTTTGTGAAGTAATTTAAATTCTAAACACCAAGAGGGCTCTTGATAGATAAATATACATTAACAAGAACTGGAAAGGCTGAAGCAAAGATGGCCTGTGCAGCCCTTTCTCCCCTTTCTGGCCTGTAAAATTCTGAAGCTGTGTTAAGGGATTAAAACACAGCTTGTCATTACTTCTACTGCAAACATAAACTAACCTTTGAGGTAGGTTCACAACATATAAAAGATTTAATCAAGTTATATGTATACCTCAGCTAAGGCAATAAAGAAACACTTGAGGTCAGGCTTTACAGAGAAAATACCAGTAAAAGCCAGAATAGTTTTAGCACCATACGGAATTCTCATCAATTTATTTAAACACATACAGTATGCCTATAGACAGCATATTGGAAGTACATTTCAAAGGTGACACGTAGGATGTCTGGTTCTACTTCTCTGAATAAATACAGCATTAGCAAGTGTACTTTGAAGATTATTCACAGACTGGAAAAGGCTTCATGATGCTTGTTTACACTTCCAGCTTTCATATTTAAGTTGCTAAATTAGTAATCAATATTTAGAATAAATATTGAATGGAAAACAAAATCCATTGTAAGAGGATTGCGAGGCACATTCCACAAATGTGATTACCAAAACCCAAAATAATTTGACCACTTTACAATAATTATGATGTAACAATTAGAGAAGCTTTTATTCTTTCTTTTTTTTTTTTCCTCATTACCTGCAGGTACTTCAGTGTGATTTTTAGATTGGTTTTTGATTCTCTTGGACTGTAGGTTTTGTCACCCATCCCAAAACTTGAATGCATATAATGTCACCTATCCCTAAACCATAATGCATAACAGAAGAAGACACAAGAAAAGCAACAATTACAGAGAGGCATAGCTATATCAGACCGCATGACTATACTGTAATTGTCAGCTTTAACAAGGGTTTGCAGAAAAACACCCGCTATATGGAAGTGTTTGTAATTTATTGACTACTGGCTTCCAGACACAGCATCTCTAAGGCTTCTGTACTACCTCAGTTCCTTGGTCTGGCCATAGTGGTTGGGTTTTTTACAAGGCTATGTACAGGGAAGACAGTAATCTCTCCTATTACAAAACAAGGGGTGAAACTTCTGCAGCACATTTTGAGACATCCCACTGCGCTCATAATGCCCTCTCAGATGGAGGTTATTACCTAATGTCCATGTTCCTTCATCAGTTACTGTCGAGTCAAAAAGTTTACCCTGCAAAAGACACATACAGTATTACAAATCTGGAAAACCTGCTCAGCATCTAGGTCCCACTGAATTGTCAGGTTTTACTCCCAACTTCCCTTATTTTCTACTGAACATGGATAGTGCAGTCTGGCCCTGTAAGCACAGGCTTGCACACAGACCATCAAAGAATTATTTTTTGTTGCACAATTATTTTTTGTGTACACACAAACAAAACAAAAAGATTTCGTTACACAATTCTGTCTTTTTTAATGAGGCATTTACCTCACAGTCCCTGTTTCAGTACCTCAGCGCAGTGGAAGGGCTCTTCTCAGAGGGTAATGACCTTTGTAATGGGTTGCTATGAAAACGTCAAGCTATGAAAACTTATAGCTGTGGTGCCATGAGGCAGGTGCCCCATGCCGGGAAGAGCTGCTTGTGCCCGGTTGGAAAGCGAAGCTGCTGCTGACCCGGGTTACTGGCTCTCGGCAGCACCCACAAGCTGCCCCAGCACAACCCAAGGCAGGCAAACTCAAGGAATTTGTTGGCTTTGTTTTTCCGATCGTCTTCAAAAGCTTGACAAAACTGTTCTGATACATTCCGCTTTTGATGGATCAAAATCTGGGTATTTAAAAAAGAAAATACAACAGACGCGGGCGGGGCACTGAGGCAACTCATCCCCGTCACCCAGCAGGGCCTCCGCTCCGGCCGCGGGTGACAAGGCGCGGTGCCGTCCCCGTTCCCCCCGCGCCGGCCCGGTACCTGCAGCACGTCCTGGCCCCGCACGGACAGCGCGATGTGCTGGCTCTGCAGGTTGCAGCAGATGTCCTTGGCGCGGGTGCCCGGCGGCACCTGCACCTCAATAAACACCTCCTCCAGGGTCTGGTACCAGCGGCCCCAGGGCGTCCCGCAGGGCACCACCCCGCTGCGCTCCTCGAAGGGAGCCGACATGAGGGACAGGAAGGAACAAGACGAGACGAGATCACCGCCCAGCCGGGCCGGGCGGGCCGTCCTGCGCATGCGCAGGGCGCAGCAGCCGCTAGCCCCGCCCCCTGGCGCACGCTAGAACGGCCAAGCGTCTGCTCCGTGCCAGGCGCGGTGATTGGCTGAGCAAGTCAAGGCAGCAGGAGGTGATTGGCTGTCCAGGGCGCGTCGTAGTGTCAGTTGTGCCGTTTGAACGTTGCGGCGCTCTGTGGTGCGAGTCATGGCTTCTCGCAGCGGTGTGCTCCAGCGCCGCAGGCAGCCCTCCGGTACGTGCTGGGTGGCGGACGGGGAGGGAGCCTGAGCCCTTTGCGGTGGTGCTGGGATAGGGGAAACCGAGCTGTGGTTACCTTGGTGTGTGCTAGTGCTGCCTTTCTTCTCGCTGAGCGGGGAGCTGCCTGTGACCTGTGTGTGTGTGCGCACGCATCGTAGCCCAGAAATCAGCAGCGTGACCAGTAGGTCGAGGGAGAGGATTCTCCCCCTCTACTCTGCTCTTATGTGAGCTCACTTGGAGTCCTGTGTGTAGTTCTGGTGTTCTCAGCGTAAGAAGCACATGGAACTGTTGGAGCAGGTCCGAAGGAGGACCAGGAGGGTGCTAAGAGTCTGGAGCACCTCTGCTACAGAGACAGAGAAAATTCGGGCTGTTGAGCCTGGAGGAGACCCTTATAGCAGCCTTCCAGTACCAGGAGGGGGCCTACAAAGGTGATGTAGAGGGACTCTTTATAAGGGACTGTAGCGACTGTAGGCAGTGGGTTGGAACTAGATGAGCTTAAGGTCCTTTCCAACCCAAACTGGTCTGTGCTTCTATGTATATATACATGTATCGATGCGTATTTACATATATTTATGTAGTAAGCCAGCGACAAAGCAGGTTTTCATAGCCTTCTGGTATCATAGTACAAAACTGCAAAAATACAGAACCAGTCACAGTTGAAGTACTGCTACTGAGAGCATTTTACAATGTAGAGGTTTCCCATAATGAGGTTTTGGCTATAGCTAAATGCTACCATCGCCCATTCTCATGTAAGACGAAGTTACTCTCCTTTGCAGAAAGCTGGAGCAAGCAAACAAGCATTTATTGGGCTTGAGGCCACCTGGCTATAATTGTGTGAAGAACTTGTAGCCATCTTGGTTTTGTCTGCAGTTTCCCTTAAAATTGTTTAATTTTTAAAAGTATTGGTTTTGTAAAGTTTAAGTAATTTCCTACTTCAGAGGAAAAGCTTGGCATTCAAGAACATCTACACAATCTCATCTAAACTGGAAGAGATTTAAATAAAACCCCAATTAACTGAAGTTTTAGTTTATTCTTTAGCCTTTTCACAAGTTGTCATTAGGATCCTCTAACTCTTTGGTTTGTTTTTTTTCTTTATGGAAGTTAATGCACTGCTGTCACTAACAAGATGCCTTGCAATATTGTTTATGTAAATTATACTTCCTAATTTTATTAGCAGTGTAACAAATGAGCTTTTTCCCTTACTGCATGTGCATACTTCGTCTTTATGAAGAGGATGTGAAGAACTGAGACTCCAGTTGTCTGTTTTCCCTTTTTTTAAAGTGGATTTAACTTACATGTGTTACTGCAATTAGTTGAAGTTGGAAACTCTGTCATTTACAATTATAATTCTCTGCTGTTTCTGAAAATCTCATTAATAGCATGTACCCTGCTGCAACAATCCTATGATGTTGAATCTTCAGATGCACTGAAAAATTCTCTGTCCTCCGAAACATGTCACAGGTTTAGGAAGCAGAAAATTAAGTAGCCATAAAAGTCACACAGAACATAATGGTATATATCTTTGAATAATTGTTAGTGCTTACATGCTGCTACTGCTCTGCTCTTGTTTGGAAAATGGTTTATGTTTTAGGGGCTCACTGCCTGCCTTCCAGCTCAAGAGGACAGCTGCTGTAAAAATATGTCTGACTGAATCTTCCAAAACAAGCTTTATATGTGATTTCTGCTGATTAGGGAGACATCTGGGAATCAAATAAATTAGTTAACTACCTCATGAACCTTGAATTTAGTGATAACTTCACAGGGGGTTTGCATATAAAACATCCTTCAGTTGAAAATTGACAGCATGGATCTGGATAGGCAGGGGGGGTAAAATTTGGCAGAAGCTGCATTCTCAAAACTGTCTGTCATCTGGTAGTGTCTCTAAAATCTGTCAAGTGCCTGGATGGCTAATACTGAACTTCCTGACTGCAGTAAGAAGACAGCTGGCATTGGGTTGTAAGGTAGATAGTCTAATAATTGGGTGCCATTCTGCCTTTTGTGTAAAAAGACAATTAACTTTTAGTTTGATTACACTTCACTCCCTGTGCATGCATGCCCTCTTCCTTCATCATTCTTTTCTGCCTCCTTCTGCAGGTGACACAAATTTGAGCAATGAGAAGAGTGCACCTACCCCTGTAACTGCCAGGAGGCTCACATCTCTCGGATCAACAGTAAGATTCCTCTGTGGTGTCTGTAGCACTGCTAAATTCCAGCTAAACCTCACCGTGACTGGTTAAATCACTTAGCACCTTTATACAATTACTATTAACTGAGCAAACTATGAAATTCATTATTGTGCCTGTGCTCCTTAGTAACCAAGTAGGGAAAATGAAATTGCAGCATCTTTGGGAATTACATGATGATTACTTGGACCTAAAATGGCTTGTTGCTTTTGGTGTTATGATCTGTTAGTTTTTTGCCTCTTGCTCATTATATAATGATAGTGTGGTTGGTTTGTTTTTTTTAAGACTATTGTGGTTTTGTTTCTGCTTTAATATCGTGAACAGGGCAAAGCAGAAAGCTAGTGGTGAAAGTTCTTAGTGCAGTGTGTGAGGATAATTATTTTAAGGTACATAGCTCAACATGTTGAAAAAACTGTAACCCTGACTTACTAATTTAGTTTACTAGAACTAGTCATGTAGGATGAAATTCAGTAAACAAACTGGTGGTTAAATGATTGAATTGGCTTTTATGGAGGTGCTAATGTCTCGAACTTTCTTAATCTCCTTCCTGGAACAATGGTTATGAGCTGTCTGTTCACAGTAATGCTTATCAGAAAGTACAATGATAAAACCCCTCCTAACCTGACAACTGCCTTCCCTATTTGTGGGAGATAAGTTAGGTTTTTTTTCTGTGTGTGTCTCTTTAATAGTATTGTCTATATGAAGGCATTTAACTGTGGTGTTAAACTGATTTCTAGCTGCTTACTAGTTTAACCTTTCTAATGCACGTTTTTTCAAAAGGCTGCTAATGGGACTCTGAAGCCTAAAAGAGATGTTCTCCTTATGAAAGAGAAAAAGAAACAGAAGGCACTGGAGAAGGAGGTATGAATACATTACATGAGTGCAATCCTGTAATAGTTCTCATTTACTATACTTAAAAAATACAAGCTCGTAAAATCTTTTTCTTTACAAAACCTACAGGTAGTTCGCAAACAGCTTTGTGCAGAGTAGAGATTATCAAATGCTCTGATATGTAAAAAGTATTGGATTTCCTAATACAATTACATTAATTTCTATTGCTTGTGATAAGTGTAGCCAGTCTCTATTTGTTTGTTTTTAAAAGAGAACAGTCCTGTGTTCTCTAACCCAAAAAGGTTCTCTTCTGTTTAGCAACTATTTTCTGAGAGTTTTTCTTAGTAATTGACATAATTTTAATGTTTCAGAGGCAGCTGGCTTTTTCTTATCACACTTCTGTGTGCTGATATATGCCTTGTGTGTCTGAAATGTCACATTCTGTTTATCCATTCCATAGCCAAAGAGGAGAGTGGCTTCCGTTGCAACTTGAAGCGAAGACTATTCTGAATTTAACATGTTGCTGACTCAATAGCATAAAAAGTCAGGTGAAATGCTAGGACTGCAAGCCTGTGCTGTATAATATTAGAGAATCATTGAAATTTTGTTATCTTCTTTTCTGTGAATGACAGAGTTAAAGATATATATTCTGAATGAATGTTTATACAGTTTGGATACTCAGTCTATCCAAGAAAACCACAAGCACAAAGTAATAATGTTATTTGAAAAGAGTAATAGTAGGAAACAAAGAAAATGCCTCTTTTGTTTTAGATTCGTGCATTAGTGAGAGAGCGTGGAGAGCAGGATAAAAAACTTCAGGCTCTGGGTGAGGATTTTGTTAAGAATGAAGCAAAGCTGAGTGCTGCAGTTCAGGAGAAAACATCTCTCTTGGCAAATGTTGCATGCCTGAAAAAACAGCTTCTGGAACTAAGAAGAACCAATGAACTCCTAAAGTCAAAGGTATTCAAACAAGCAAGCACACATTTGCTTTGACTTTGCTGTCATTAAGCTCCCTGGGCAGGAAGAAACTTCAGTTGGTGATCAGCATCTATTTTCATGTGCCTTTCACTAGCAGAAACAGAGCATGTCTGGTCTGGGATCTTGTGTGCTGCTGTCTAAAGGCAGAGCAGGACCTGCTAACATGCTAACATCCATCCTAGTGATGGGTAGAGATATGTGTTGTGTGTGGGAGGGGGGTACCTTTAAAGCATTGTGCACAAAACCACTCAGATGAAAGAATTATGCTTATTGGTTTTATATTCCTCCCTAATAAGCTGTCTGAAGATGGCATGCAAAAGAAAATGAGCAGCCTGTGCCTGGAGTTAATGAAGCTCAGAAACCAGAGGGATGCTAAGGAAAAGGTATGGCCATTTGCACAGCACAGGATAGTAATTCTGAGCTGTTCAGGAAGAGTCAATGAAGGCCTTGGCACAGACCTGCAGATTATGTGTTGTTTCTTGTCTTCAGCCTGGTAGTTTCTGTGAAGAGAAAGTAGAGAAAGTAGAGAAAGATAAACCACCAAATGTTCTTGATTGTGCTGTTGATGTGCACAGTAAATCTGCATTCAACTAAAGAAGCCTAGAAATATCTCTATTATAATATCAGTCTGTTGGTTGCACAGCTGTTTTCCTCAAAAACCGGTGGTCCTAAATATAGTTTGAAGCTCTTACATGTGGTTTGTTTTGGTTTTGGTGGGGGGTGGTGGTAGTTTTTACAAATGGCTGGTATCTTTAGAAAGGGATAATCTGAACTGCATTTAGCATACAAGTGCTATCATTAAATTGTAGCTGTGACTTAATTTCTCTTTACCACTGCCTCTTAGACAATGGATTATTTACATTTTTTTACTAAATCTTTTTGGTAGTAATATTTGTTGGTTGGATTTTTTTGTTTTTTTTTTTTTTTTTTCTAAGACTGCACTTGCAAAGCAGGAAGACATGGAAATGAAGTTGCAGGAAGTGCAAAGAAATCTAGAGCATTCGCAAGGAAAAGTAGCACAGTTGCAAGAAAAACTGTAAGTAGTAAGGAATGGAAGTGACTGAGGGAAGAAATGGTAATTTGTCTAGCTTATGCAACTGTCCTAGCTTACTTGCTTCTGGTAGAATATGGCTCAGCCTCCCTACTGCAATGAGAAAACCAAATGGAACAAGTATCAAAAGCGGGTAGAATCACATCTTATAGCCAAAATCAGTTTGTCAGCCAAACTGGATTATGAAAAATGTATGTATTACTATAAGCTGTGATTCAATTATTCATTTCTACTTATCTGTAAATAAATAGCTTCCAAGTATTTGTTTAAATACGTCCATCATGAAAACTTCCTGGTTTTAGGTCTGCTACTGAGAAAGAGAAAGTTGAAGAAAAGTCAGACACTGAAAAACTTTTGGAATACATCACAGAACTCAGGTAATAACAAATTGCTCTTGAGTTGGACTGGGTAAGCTAAGAAGCAGTAAAACTAAGCCTCATTTATGGATGGGTGAATTAGAGCCTTAGCAACAATTCTTTTTAACAGTATTAAAATAGAGGGGGGGAAGGAATCAAATATTTTTTCCACACAATGGGTAGGAGTAATAATGTTAGTTATATTTCTTAATGTCTCTGTGCTCTTCTCGGCTAAGCAGTAATATGGAAGAGTTCTGTATCGGGGTCTTGAAATCCTGGTTTTAGCCTGAGTCATTTGTACACAAATCAAGCTGACCCCTTTTCCTCAAAGGTACTGGCAGTAAAATCTTTTAGCCCTGACTTGTAAAACAATTTACAGCAGGGGGAAATAAACCCCCCAATCTTGGCTTGCATAATACTCTGATTTGCATTTATGAATTATGATGAATTGTGTATGTATGAGCATCAGCCTCATCCTAAAAATTGCTACTCTAGTGCTCTTTAACTGACTGAAACTCTGATCAGTCTTCACAGTAATGTGTCCCTAGCTCAGAACATGGTAAAAATACAGAAGTATTTAAATTTAACTATTTCAGTCTTCACCTCTCCTTCCCCTATCAATTTACTCACTAAGAGATACCTCAGTAACTGCCTATATATACTAAGACTCTGCTTATTCTGGTAAAATCTGTTTTATGAATGTGTATGCTTTTCTATGAAAACTCAGCTTTGTGAAAACCTGGATAATAGCAGTCATCTGTAAATCAATTATGGTAATTAATAATGTTTTAATCAAACCTTTATATTTATGCAATTGTTTAAGTTTCTTTTAGAACAAAACATTGATGTTGAGAGAATCTGCTTTTTAATTAACCTGTTTTAATGTGCAAAAACTTGTGTCTGGGAATGCAGCGGAAGGCAGTTTTCCTGTTTGAAACCAACAGTCCTAAATATTTGTTCTTTGTGCTGAAGAGTTAAGTTTTCCAGCAAAACTTAGTGGTAACAAGTACCTGAATTTTCTCCTACAGCAGTGTTGCAGAAACAGTTGAGAAATACAAACTAGATGTTGCCCAGATGGAGGAGACAGTGATAAAGAAAGACCAAGATATTGAGATCCTGAGGGCTACCCTCAAAACTAAAGAGGAAGAATCTTTTAAACTGATACAAGAACTTAATGATAGGTGTGAATTGCTTCAACAAGATAAAGGTAATTGTTACTGTTTGTATGCTGTCAGCATATGTGGGATCACTGACATGTTTTAAAGCATCTCAAATAGGTTTGTTCTAAAATACCAGTTTAGACTTATTTGTTCCAAGTTATCTCTCTGAACTCCAGCTGAAAACAGCTAGGAATATCTCTAACAATATGGAAACCACCTTGAATCTGACATCTTTTAAGTCTAAATTTGTATTTCTCTGAAGGGTTACTAAGGTACGTACTACAGAATAAAAACTGTTTATATAGTAGAAACGGCTTTAATCTGAAAGGTGAACACAAATGACTCGTTCCTTACTCTTCATTGAGGAGCAGTATGATACTGTCTCAATTCACTGTTACAAGCACATGCACAAGTTCACTGAGATATTGGAAATGTGTCTAGGATTCCTTTGTCACCTCTTTTTCTCTCTCTTCCCCAAACCCAGCAACTCTGCAGCCTGAGACTGGTACGCAAGTTCTCTGTACCTGTTGGGCTGTGTGTGCTAGCATTATGTGGAAGAAGCTATGAGGAAATGATTTGGTTTTCTCCACCTATACTGCTGTTCTGATGAAGGCTTGATCCAAAGATTCCTGCTGTTAAATTAATTTTTAAAGTGGTGTACTTTCAGCTGATTTTTGAGGGTTTCCAGATGGGTTAAAGATGAGGGTTTGTTTTGTTTGTTGGGTTTTTTTTCCTTGCATAACAAACTGTAAATCTAGAATGGAAGTATTATAAAGATGTAGTTCTTTGAAGATGGAGAAAGGAATTTGTGTTATATTGACAATTCCTTCATCCAGAGAAAGAACTGTTGGAGACCAGAGGAAAATTCCTAAGTATGAATGCTGAAATAGAACATTTGAAGAAAAAAATTTGTTTAGAAGAACAAGAACACCAAAAACTGCTTCAGAAACATGAGGAGATGGTCTCTCAGCTGAAGAAAGAGAAGGTAAATACAGGCTATAAAGTAGTTAAAAAATGCTCTAATCCAAGTGACTGGCACAAAAGGTTCCAAATTTGCCTACATGTGAGACTGCTGTATGAATAATGGTCTAATCTATGGAACGTTAAGTGGGTGCTGGCTAGCAGAAACTGTGGTCCAATAGCTTTAAGAGTCATAGCTGGTATGGTGGGTGTTTTGGTTCTTCCTGTAGAATTGACCTTATTCTTTTGCTTCCAAGTTTGAACGCTGCAAAACAGCTTTTACTATCTGGAAAAGTACTGGTAGCTTTAAAATCTGTGGTACTCTGGCATGCAGGAGTCATCTGCATCAATGCACCAGCAGTTACTAGAGCTTCAAGATGAGGTAACAAATGAGAGGCGTCTTCTTGAAGAAGAGCTGAACGATGCCATGAATGAGCTGAATAAATTGCATGCACAGGAGAAGAAAGCTGAAAAGCTGGTGAAGCGGTTGGAGCAAGAAATCAAATCTCAAGCTCTTCAACTTTCACAGATGGAAGTACAGCTGAAAGGGTTTGTGAAATAAACTTTCTAATTCTAAACATTTGAAAGAAAAAAATATTAATAGTGTGAACAAAGCTGCTAAGCCTAATTCAGGTTTTACAGACACGAACAGATCTCGACTTATTTCTTGCTGTTTGTTGATCATTGATAGTGATCAGACCAAATAACCATCAATAGTTACTTGAATCAGATTTATATGGTCTTAATTTAGTGCAATTTAATCAGCGTGCTGAGACTTGCTTGAAATGCCAGTACTGTAGTAATATGACATTGCTGTGAAGGGTAAGCTATATGCATGTCACTGGATGCTTCTACCCTGGAAAAGGCAATGACTAGGAAAGATTTTCAAGCAAGCTTTTTCTTTGTTCATGTACTGAAAGTCTGCTGTTGGGTGTAGAATTTATGCTATGCTTACCTTGGGGAAATAAGGCAGGGGAGATGCTTAGTTAAATCTGCTGTGAAAATGGTGCTTTATTTCAAGTTGTGGCAGAGAAGTTACTAGTTTGTCACAATTTACTGCTGCCACTGCCAGCCTTCTGTACCTGATAACAGCATTGTTTAGACATACTTATCTCCAGCATGGAATGATTAACTTCTATTGTAGGAAGAATGCAGAGTTGGAGCAAATCAATGAAATGCACAGCAAAGCTGCTCTGCAAATCCAGGAAGAGCACAGCAAGACACTGCGTAAACTCGGAGAGACTGTTGCTGAGTTTGAAAGGTATTTGAGTTTCATTAAGTTCTAGGAAAGGGATTATCTCTAAGATCACAATAAAATTGGCTGTTTATTCATATGCTGTGATACTTAACACTGTATATGAGCATTAGTACAACATTAGAGCAGAGGACTTTGGAGTATTTGATGTCATTAAGAAATTTATGCCTTTTGAGTACTAGTCAAGTGTAATGACATACTTGCTGTCTAGTACAGGAAACTGGATGTTTCTTCCAAAGTGTAACCAATTATAATACTCTAATGCTCTTGAATCTCAGTGAGAGCTGTAACTAGTGATGGTCTTCTCTTTGCCTAAAATATCTTGCAAAAAGACTTCATGTGTAGGCTTGAAACTTGCACTGAATTATTATTTTTCTACAGTTCTTGCAGATCCTTCCTCTCACAATATTCAGGTTGTGGAAGCATTCAAAAAGTGCTGCTGTTATTGCTAAGTATACAAGGCACCCATGAAGGATCCAGTGGGATACTTGCCAACGCAGCCTGCAGATAGCAGGTCTTTTGGTGTTTAAAATAAGCTTTAGATATAGCAGGTCTTTGGTGTTTTACAGTATCTACCAAAATATGAGAATAGCTGTACTGCAGAACTTGTTGCAATATTACTACTTGTGGTTTTATGGAAATGTGTTGTGGTTTTTTTTTTTTTAACTTTAGAAGATTATAAAATCTCTTATACTTGTTAGCATGAGCTTTTGTAAGGCCTAAAGTCACACAATTCTTCTTATACTAGTTACAAGAAGACAACAGCTGAAGAAATAAGCAGTCTTAAACTGGAGAACACTTCTTTGCAAGAAGAGGTTGTCAACCTAAAAAAAGTAGGCCAAGATCATCTACAGCTGCTTCAAGAAGCAGAAAACACTAAGAACAAAGCAAAAGAAGAATGTGCAAGGTACTAGTCAGATAAACTTTTCTTTGGGCTAAAGAATGCCAACTAGGGCTTGCTTTCCTAACTAGAAGTTAACATGGTGCTCCACTAGATAAAGTTGGTATTTGGTGTAAGCTCAAGTTTTCTTCCTTTTCCCAGTTTGGAGGGTTGAAAATATTGACAGACAAAATTCATTAAGCTCATATGCATCAGAAAACCGCTCTGTTCTGCGTGTTCTGTCTGTTTCTATACTGTTCTTTTGTTAGCACTGTTTGTGCAAACCTTTCACTTCTGCTAACAGCTTTTCAGTAGCAGGTAATTGTGTTTTCAGATTTAGAGTACTGTAAATAAATAAATTAAGGGCTTATTAAAGATGGATAATATTTTCCTCAGGATGCTTTTAGACACCCAGACAAAGCTTGCACTAAAAGAAGCAGAAACAGAGAGAACAAAAGAGTCTTGCTTTGCACAAATGACTAAACTTCAGGAAAAACTGGACAAGCAAACCGAAGATCTGAAAAGAAAATTCGAAATGGAAAGACCAAGGTGACTTTTCTCAAACTGAGCATGCATACTGGAGCACCTCAAAGCTGCAGTGTGAGTAAGTGCTGAGAGTTAACCATGAACATAATGAAACTCCACTTCCTGCTTTTTAGGAAAACCGTAAATGAAGATGTGACCTCCAGCTTAAAAGAAGAGATAAAGACCTGGCGTAAGCTGTATGAGGATTTATATAACAAGACAAAGCCTTTTCAGGTGTGCTACCAAGTAGATGTTTATTAATAACTCTTAAGTTAAAACTTGTGCAGTTGTCTTAAGTTTTAGTCTTGAGAAATAAATAAGCTATTTCCTGTTCTAAGGCATTTATCCCACAACAGTTTCCTACTGTCCCTTGAGCTAGCTATTCCCCTTCCCAAAACAGTTTGTAGATTTTGGTTCATTAAAAAGCTATGTTTATTTTAAAGATTTCTGAAAGATTCAGTGTGTATTTCAGCAACAACTAGACGCATTTGAAGCAGAGAAGAATGCACTCTTAAATGAGCACGGTGCTGCCCAAGAAGAATTGAATAAGCTAAGTGATGCATATGCTCAACTACTTGGCCACCAGAACCAGAAGCAAAAAATCAAGCATGTTATGAAGTTGAAGGAAGAGAATACCCACCTAAAGCAGGTTTGTGAAATGAAAAGTTAGAAATCTAAGTTATTAATTTGCTTGATTTGTTTGCTGCTCTAAATATTTATAGACTCATCCTGCAAACTACCTGTTTTCTGTGATTGTAAAATTCCTTGCAAGAGCTAGATTAGAACAAACCACCAGCCTCCAGAAACACTGAGAAAATATTTTGGTTCTGACTGAATACATAACCTACAGAAGGATCACCAGTGCAAATAACTACCCCTACTTTTAGCTTGGTTGTTTTTTTCTTACCTTTTTGGAGGTTCTAGGCTTAGTAAGCTATCTGCTGAAAGCATTGCCTGAAAGTTTCAGGCTACCATAGTGCTTATTGATCTTACAGAGCAGTTATACAGTGGTGCTGGTTTCTCTAACACCTGTATATTTGTCTTTCATTTGTTTTTTAATGCTACTAACGATTGTGTATGTTTGTGTTTAGCATTAGTGAGAAGGTCTATTTCAGTAAATGAGGAAGCAGGCTTTTCTTAGTTCTCAATCTAATTTCCAAGTACTATGTTTTCTTCAGAATGTCTCAAAACTGCGTTCATTGCTAGCCAAAGAAAAGCAAAGCAACAGAGATCTTCAGGAGCAACTGCATGCAATTCAGGGTGCTCGGCGTTTCGAGCCTTCTAAAGCTTTCCAGCATGATAGCAAGGAAAATATTCCTCCAAAATCTCCTTTTAGAGAAGGTAAGCTTAGATATTGATGTAACTGTGTCTTTGTACCTCTTAAGTTTAACTGAAGAAAGTACAACAGTCTTGCATAGTCTGCTGCCTTTGGGGGAGGAAGGAGAATGGCATCTCAGGTTTCACAGCAGATGGCAGAGGCCTGCCTCAGCAGGGCACTCCCAGTGCCCCATGTTTGCTATTGTGCTTTTCAGCCCAGTTTCTCACAACCCTGCCTGAGCAAGTGGTGTGTGGTGTCAGTTTTTCTTCTGTCATACAGGTTAATGTTACCGCTAGTCAGGTGTTGGGCAGTGTCCCCTGCACAAGTGCTAGGGGTAACAGTGGTTTAGCTAGAGCTCTTTAGCTGCTACCCAGCAGAACCTTACACTACTGTAGGTGCAAAAGGCTGGCAGATGAACATGGAGTTAAGAGGGAAAGATACCAAGAGCACAGGGGGCACAAAGGAAAGCAGTGGAGGAGAGTGTGGGAGGGAAGAGATCTCAACCAGACCTTCATTACAGTGTATTCCAGGGTCTGAAGTTCTGGATTGCCTGGTGTATGAGGTGTCTGCTGGGGGGGAAGAAGGCGCTACAAATAATTACTCTATGGGGTTTTGACTATTGCTCCCACCACAATCTTAGTAATGTTCTCCCATTGCAGGTAATAAAAACAGAATTTAGTCTCTTGGTACTAAGAAAAATACCGTAAGTCACCAATGAATTCCCTCATGTACTACAGAAGACTTCAACAGACTACTGTTCAAGGTGAACCTGGATGCAGTATATAATACAACTTAATGGGAGTACTACAGGAATGGTCTAAACCCATATGTTTTTCAAAAAACTAGGCTTGGTTATGCTATTACTGAGAAGCCATGAGCATACAGGTAACTATGTTCCAGGTGCCTGGTAACATCATTGTGCTCTTTAACTCACCGATTCATGCTTTTGTGTGCTGGAGCTGCTTAGCTTGGTTTTGACAGAGAAACCAAGAAGAGGTGAATAAGCACTTAAGAGTAAGGATGATGCGTTAAATTTAGTGTCGTGAAATATGTTTTTTTTTTTTTATTCTAGCTCATGGTTTTATAATGTTTAATTTTGTTTATGGTTGTTTTAATACCAGTGACAGCAATGCTGCTAGGAGACACTTTCTTCTCTGGCCCACATAATACAGAACCAGTGCAGAAAACTGGACTGTACACTTTTGATATTCTTAATGGGATCTATGTTCAGGACATGCTAATTTCAATCCTGGGGCTGGATACCGCAGCTGTTGATCTTCAGAAGAGGATTTGCTGCTCAAATTCAAATTGACTGCATTTTAGGTGTTAGTATACTGATGCCAAGATTCGTGTCTTCAGAGAAATCTCTGTTCCACAAATGCTGAGCTCACTGGACTCCCACAGTCATAAGTTTGTAGTTGCTGTAATTGATCAATGCTACCTGAAGGGGAGTAACAGTGGAACTTGTCTTGATGAGGTGGGAGGATCCCTGCTGTGTAGACACGTTTATTGTACAGACCTGAATTTTGGCAATGTGGAAAGAATCTGTTTGCGTTTAAAATCTAAGAGTGTTTCAGCACAATAAAAATTTTGAATTAAAGACTTTGTTTATTTCCTTCATAAATAGAGGATAAAACCCAAACTCAAATTACAGTTAACTGACTTAATGTTCTTTGTTCTAGTCTTAAATCTCTGTAATAAAGCCTAGTGTCAGTCTTGGCTCAAAGACTGTGTAATCTGCAATCCTAGTGGAACTGTACAATACGTACAACCTGCAATTCCCTTATCCACTCATTTTCTGTGAGTTTCTCTTAATACACAAGTAAGTACTGGTGCTCAAATGAAACATGGAACTCTGTGTTCTTGCTGTCGTAGCTACTAATACCTTGCACATGGGTGCTGCAGAGAGGCAGTACACGAAGCTTGATGCGTTGGAGATACTACCATTTATACTGATGTTATGGGCTTACAAAGGTTTGATAATACATGGCAAATGAGGTACCAAAAATGTGTAGTAAGTCCAGGGAAAGAAATTGCTAGGTTTTGTCGGTTATTGTCATCTTTCTGTGTGTGCTGGATTACTTGAGCAAGGATGAGAATTACCTTATGGTGTCTGAATTGAAAAATAGTGTTCAATTTAGCAGCTTGCCTGAAGTGTTGAAAGGCATATTGTAGTAAGATTTCTTAAAGAATTTAATACTGGAGTTCTCTCTCCTTGTGGAGAAAAATATGGAAGTTCTCTTGTCTGAAAGATGAGATGGAGTGAAAGAAAATTGTAGAGCAAATGTGTGTTAGCCTGTTTCACTGGATGAGAACATGGCTGTATTAGAAACCCTGATGTTACATGCTGGTTGGTGGATGTGAAATGAGCAGCTGGCTAAACCAAACTGCCTGGTGAGCAAGGGGGTGGGAAGGGACACATCTGTTAACAACTGAAAATGCAGCGACACTCCACAGCTCCTACAGTGTTCTCACAAGATGGCATCATTTCATGCATGGCTGCTGGAGTTGCGCACTTTCTGTGCTATTCTACTTACATGGGGAGTTTTGAGACAAAAATCTGTTCATAAATCAATGTTGAAGTCTGAAAAGCCTTCATGCCAAAAAGAGAGACATCCCTAGTTCAATATAGTTTTAAAAATGTAAATGAGCCTTTTATTTCAAGAGAAATTAGGGCAAGTGAATGTTAACAGAAGCTTCCACAAAACTCAAAACATGGCAACAGGTACTTTTTTTTTTTTTAACTGAACCTTGATTTCTATTTGAAATGTCCTGCATTAAGTTAGCAAGATGTTGTCAGAGGGTGAAAGTATATGGAGTGAAGCAAAATACTGTGTATATTACAAGACTGCTTTTATGATGACTACAAGTTGTTTTCATACAGCCTTCATTAAAACCTTCTATCTTAACTGGCAGTGCCGTTTTAATTCCTTTTTAAGCTGCTGAGAGTATGTTTCTATTGACAGGAGTAGGTCACTCCAGCAAATAATTATGCTAGCCTTACTGCAATGTTAGGTTCTGGTTCAACTTTAAAAGGTATCTAAACAACATTGAGCAGACTAGGGGAAAAGATAGAGTTGAATGAGAGATCTTGAGTGCGTTGTGTCAACTTGAAGTGGTTTACCAGTTTCATGCAGGTATGGAATACCTGTTAAAAACTGAAACCTTGATATTGGTACCTCACCTGAGGTACTCTTGTGGTATTCACTGCAAGAATCAGCTACTTGCATTTTGTGGAACATACTTTTTAATTTTAATTTAAAAGACACTAATTATAAAAGACACTAAATTATTTCTGTCTCGCTGCATTGCAGCAAGGTCTGGGTTGCAGTGAGTTTAAATGTGAAAGGCAGAGTTGTGAGACTCCTCAACCCAGGTGACCTAAGGCGAACCCTCCTCCTGTTTCCTGTAAAAGGAGAACTGCACAAGACTCTCTGCTGGTGCTCTGAATAAATTTGATGCACACAATGGCTGCACTCGCTCATGCTGGCGGTTATGAAGTACAGATTTAAGTCCCTACGGAGCTGCTTAAATGGTACCACTGGGAATTGCCCAAAAGCTTAGCAGGACTCAGAGCCACACGTGATGTAGGGCTTGGATTAGCATTTCGGTTTCAAAGGTCAGTTAAGCCGCTGCTGCTTTTCAGTCCATGTGCTCTCTGCAGGCAAAGCAGACAAAGGGACGAGTGCGCAGCAGAACTGCAGTAACTTCCTAGGCTGGTAATTCCTTCTGTAGTTTGGAGCAATGCCTGAAATGCCGGTGGAAATGGAGCAGGTAAGGCTATGGATCTTTGCATTAACTGATTGCTGGCTGCGCTTTGATTACAGAACATAGGGGAAACAAGACAGGAGCAGAGAATTGTGCTTTAGTCTGCAAATTGCAGTATGAAATGTTAATAAGTAAAGGGCCTGGTGCATTTAGTCACCCTGTGGTGCATTATGCTTAAATAACTGATATCAACTATAATACAATTTCTATATATTCCGTGCAATCACAGTGTTTCACAAAGTGTATATAATGCTAACGACATTGGAAGTGGAAGCTGGAATGCTACTGCATTCAATGTAAATTATGTTATGAAGATAACATATTACACCCAGGTTTTGTAACTGTTAGACTGCTGACAACAGCGTGAAGGTGTTTTACAGGCCAGCTCATGGCTCTTGTGGGAGACCCCGGTGTTGAGCTTTCCCTGCTCTCCCCTTGCTCTAAGAGTGGACGGCTAAGTTCCTGGTTCCACACAGGGTGAGACACAGGTACAGCCCTGGCTGTTACCTCGGGGCTGCCCTGCTGATCCCCCAGGCTTTGCAGGTTCCTCTTCTGAATCTCAAGTAATTCCTCAAGTGAGGAAATTACTGGTATTTTTCTAAGAGTTCCAAGGTTAACGAAGGGGAATTAAATGGCCATAGTGCATTACAAGGAATATAAGGCATCTGCAGTCCAAGAAGGCAGAAACTGTCTGAAGTGATTTCTACATGTATGCTTCATGCGTTGTACATGTCAGTCCTTTCTCACAGGTAAAGGTCATTTACAGTATGGTTCTATTTAGTTTAGCAGATTTTCTAATTTCTCTTTAACTTTGTAATATCGGCTGGTTTTCTCCCTTGACTGCCACTTAAAGAAGTATTTAAGTCAAGCTGAAATTAATTCCTTAGGTAAAGATCTCAGTGTGACCCTAGCTAAACTAAAGCTTAGCTACCAGTTCTTCAAGCTTGTTCAAAACAATATGGAGCAATGGGTCTTTGCCTTTGTGTGGGGCTGAAATATCACAGTAAAAAGCTTTATGAACAGGTTCATGTTACTTTTTAACCCTGCATGTAAAAAAGTAAACTCGTAAGTGTAGAATTTTAGGATGAGTAATGCAGGCAGGGACTGCTGTTGCAGTGGGCTATTTTACCAGTCTTTCTTATGAAGCTGCGGATAAAGGCAATTGGGAAATGCACGATATTCTGCCGTTCTTAAAGTGGTATCTCTTAGTAACTGGATACGTGAAGTAGGAAGTTTTGTTGTATAAAAGGCAGGAGCTGATACTTTTACACAAGTGGAAGCTGACGCTTTCTATGGGCCGAGGTTGTTACGGCAAGGCTGTAACCGAGAAGCGGTTGCTGCAGGAGCTGGGGCTGCGCACGGCAGAACACAGCCCCTGAGCAAGAGCTGTAGGCGCAGCCGCGGCGCTGAACGCGAAGCACACACAAACGGGTTGCTCACCAGCTACTGCGCACGTAGGCCGGGCTGAGAGTCTGTGGGCGCAGGCGGACATCCCTTGCCTCCTCTCGCGGGACGAAAGGGAAAGGAGCAATCGCTGCCTGGGCTGCTCAGCTAAGACGTCGAGATCGGTGCGGGCTGCCTGCCAGCTCTAGCTGAGGGGTGATGGGCTGTGCCGCCGTGCTGGAGCCCGTTACGGCCTCATGTACTTGACACAAACTCCCTCAGAGCCGCTGCAGGGTCATGGTCAGACGGGGGCACCGCTCTGCCTCTTCCTCCTGCTTTCTAGCGGGTTCGCCCTACCGGCCCCAGCCCGGGCCTTGTCTCTGCTGTGCCTCCGCAGGAGCCATGGCCGCCCTTCGGCTCCTAGAGACTAGGGCTGCCGCCCCTACCCCGGGGGTCCGCTGCGCCTTCCGTGAGCGCGGCCCCTTTAAACCCCGCCAGGGCCCCTCCCCTTTGGCGCTCCTCAGCCATTGAGCGCGCGGCGGTGAGAGCTTCGTGTCGCCGCCGCTGCCCAATGAGGGCTCGCCCTGCTGCGCGGCGCACGGCACGTCCGCCCTCCCGCAGCGCCCCGCCGAGCAGCAGCAGGAGCAGGCCCCGGGCCGGGCGGGCCCAGCGGCGCCGCCATGGTCGGCCGGGAGAAGGAGCTCAAGATCCGCTTCGCACCGGGCCGCTGCGAGCTGGTGGAGGTGAGCGGCGGGAGCCCACGGCGCCGTTTTCTCCGGGTGCGCCGCGCCTGCGGCTCCTGGGGGGCTGGGCCGCCCCGCATGGACCTCCCTTCGTAGGGCCGCGGGGTGCACCGCCGGACGGGCCTCCCCTGCGGGGCCGGAGGAGGCGCCGCGACGTGTTGGGGAAGGGCGGCTGTGGCGGCTCCGACTGTCCGCGGAGTGCTGGGTGCGAGGGGAAGTGCGGCCGGCGGCTCCCGCTGATGGCTGGGCTCCGGGATCGGGACCCTCGGTGCCTCATTCCGCCACCGCTGCGTTGCCTCCGTGGCGGCGGTTTGGGCACTGCGGCCCTGCGTGGTCCCGCTGCTGGAGCTGTCCGGTGCCCACGGGCCCGTCCCCTGTGAGAGCCTTTGAGCAGGTGTAGCCGGCGGCAAGGAGCGGCTCTCGGGTGCTCCCGTCCCGTCTGATCCCGCGTCCTCCCGATCCTCACCTCGTGTGCTAACCTGCGTGAGCCCGGCGGCCCCTTCCTTAACATGGACATCTCTGAGTTGATCTTTATATGAAACTTATAAAGTACTTGTACCTTGAAATACCTTGCGTCTTACGGTGTTTTGTGATTATACTTTTAATAGCATCTAAAAATACTTCTAGGTCTCCCAAATGCTACTTTTTAATCTTGGGTATTTTTATTTGAGTGAGGCTTCTGAGTGCATTTCTCTTTTATTATGTT